AGGACTGAGAGTAGTGAGATTGGTCGGTATGCTCGAGGAGACGACTTATCCTTCTTATTTGGCTTTAGAATGATAGCAACAATTGCAGTACGGAAGATCTTAGGGTGGAACCCTATCACTATACATCCCTTGAATAGAGAGTACACCAGGTGTGAGATCTGGTGCCAGGCAGCCTTAAAAACCCCTGTCGCAAGCTTATCCTCTCCTGGTGCAGTAGAAGCCTTTCCAAGGTCTGACTCTTCTACCTCGCGTAAAGTAAGAGTAGCCCAGAGGAGGGCACGCGTAGAGGTGGTTGGGGTGTTGATTAGAATGTCCCCTACTTCTGCCTTGTTTGTGAGTAACTCTTGTACTAGGATATTTTGCTTCTCTTGAGTAGTAAAGCCTAGCTGGCCAGCCGAGTCCTTCAAAGGGGAGGACTTGTATACCCCCGTACTCTGGTGCCACTTGCATATTTTGAAAACGTCCTTAGTCTTAGTAGCCTTGTCGATCAGGCTACGGAAGTGCGCTCCTTTTGCCTTCCTGATCTCCTGTCTAAGAGCCCTCTGAAGACCTTTCACAGCCTCTAGGCTGGCTTCGAGCCTTCGAGCCTTCCTGGCCTTGATGGCCGCAGATTGACACTCCTTGTTCCACCAGGGGTGTCCAAACACATGCCCACGGCCTCGCTTAGCACTGCTGAGATACGCACTATGTACGCACTCAATGATAAATCTTGCTAGAGCCTCTAGCGATTCTGTGTTCGTTTGTTCACCTAGCTCGTACAACCATCGCTCTTCAAGCTTCCCCTGTAGAGCCACCTCAAAGTCTTTGACATCAAGAGTGCTAAGTTTCAAGGGGGGGTCCTTCTCAGCTAGGCCTCTAAAGTACGACAGGCGAGTGAGAACCGGTAGGTGGTCAGAGCCGCACTCAAAAGTAAGGTCAACCTCTGTAGCTGCCCCTCTTTGACAGAGGTTGCTAGAGCAAAAGGCTGGGTCGAGAGTATTCCCAAGGTTGTGAGTTTGAGTACTAGGAGGGGTAGTGAGCTATAGCCCTCTATCCTCTATCCAGTCAATGAGCGAGAGGGCCTGGGCACTCTCTTGGCCAAGGAAGTCAGGTTGCCAGAGTTGGCTTTTCAGGTTAAAGTCCCTAGCTAGGAAGAGGTTTCTTGTAAGGATATGTTGAGAGCTAAGAACAAGGCTAACAGCCTCCCCTGCACCCTTAGCACCTAAAGGCGCGTTGTATACGTTGAGTATGTAAAGTGAGTGGCCTTGGGAGAGTGTAAATTTAACATAGATAAGGTCTCGACATTTAGGCGAGGGGGCGATTGGGGTCTGTTGGCTTGCAAGGATGCCAGCCCCTTTTCGTACAAAAGTGAGTGCCCTAGGAGGGCTAATATTACAGTTATATATAGGTGTAAAGCAGTCGTAATTCGGGTAGCGTCTTGTAATCTAACGACTAATCTCCTTTTAGTAGATATATAGCTCTTAGATAAGTACTATATCAACTCGCTTCATGTGGGCTAGCTGTAGTACTAGCTCCTAGTAATCGCTAGACTTGTGTACATTGATTTGTAGGACTTGGAGGCAGTAGTGTTGAGTAAATCCCTATGTACTTATAATGAAGTAGAGGGATTAGTGTCTGTGTATCCTTGTCTAGGGAGTTCGTGGTATGCCTCTTCTACAGTAGTAGCGAGGGACTTGTTAGCCCGTTAGAGAATTACAGAGGAGGGCGTGAGAGGGCTGTCTATGCTAGCTTGAGGGGGGGGGGGGGGGCGGTTCTGAGGAGTAGTAGGCAGCTCTGGTTCTATTACCGTATCTAAGCTACTACAGGGAGACTCTCCTTCTCTTCTTGTCCGCATCTCATTACATGCTTGTTGAACAGCTCTCTTGTTCTCGGTTGAAGGGTGTGTTCCTGAGGCTTTTGGCCTAAGCTGGCACGTAGGGTCGTCTGAGGCGTGTGGGCCACTACAGTGTAGGCACTTTAGTTTACACTAAGAGTGCCTAATGCAACTAGGATGGAAAGCTTCAGAGTGTTTAGTGGTGCCACATAAGCGGCATCGTTGGTTCTTGCCACAGTTCCTTGAGTTGTGCCACATCCAGCACCTAGAGCACTGTATAACAGCAGAGACTTTAGGGAGGCGCTTAAAGAAGGCTCTTCTTCCAAGGAGAGAGGTGTCATGTCGGGGATAGCGCGAGGGACCCTAGCTTCCTCTTCCTTAAAGAATACAATCCAAGAGGTATAGAACAGCCCGTCAGAGAGAGAGCTAGTGGCTATGTCAACCTTCGTGGGTGTAATTCCAATTCGCTCCTCTATAGCTGTAGCTACTACTTGCGGAGTAGTAGAGGAAAGGGTCGATAAAATTGCTCCTTTTTCATTAATTTCGACAGTCTCAACACTACGAGGGACCCCTGATAGGTGGAATACTGCCCAATCTTGCGAGGTCTCTATTCTAGCTACAGAGAACAGGGTTTAGATAAAGGCCTTCTTTGTTAATAGAATAGTATCAAGGGCTTCTTTGTCCTTGGGGACAATAGCAAATCCAGAGTTAACTAACGGTACTTCCTGTACAAGCTCTTCACAGCCAATTTTTGGGTCGCAGAGGGCAAGGTAAATAGCTAGCGCAGAGTGTTTCCTTTCAAGAGAGTCTAGAGGTAGTCGTATAAAGACCCTAAGGTCTCTTATTCTTCTGTAGCTTTGAAGTGACAGGAGGCGGGGGAGGAGGTAGTGTAGTAGTTGCTATAGTGGAGCCTGGGTTTTCAGGCGCTGGGGCATTCTTTGTGGTCTGTGCGTATCAAATTTTTCCCTCAGGAGCCAAAGAGGGGGTTGGAATTGTAGGGGGCGTAGGGCTGTTTCCACCCCTGTAGGAGTCACTGAGAGCTAAAGGTAGTGGAGGCGGGGCCGCTGAGGTGTACGTTCGGTGGAAGGCTAGGCTGAGGTCGGCTACCTGGGTGCAAAAGGCCCTAAGGTAGGGCAAGAGGTCCGGAGGTGCCCCATCAAGAGCAGTACTTAGATAGTGGTCTACAGCTTCTGTCGTGCCCCCGAAGAAGATTTGGCCTATGGCACCACGTTCTANGAGGTAGGGCAAGAGGTCCGGAGGTGCCCCATCAAGAGCAGTACTTAGATAGTGGTCTACAGCTTCTGTCGTGCCCCCGAAGAAGATTTGGCCTATAGCACCACGTTCTAGTGCTTTGGTAGTCCCAGAGATGAAGTATTGTTGTATGTTGGGCAGAGGGGGCATCGGGCGTACTCCCCCCTTTCTCAAGCCCCTTCCCAGGGACGTAGGCGAGGCCGGAGGTCTCCTTGGAGGAGTCTCCATGGAAGGAATTTAGCTTATTAAACGAGAGTAAGAGAGATTGAGCGATTTAGAACAAAAATTTCAATCTACGAAAAAAGGTGGGTGTGTAAGCGTATACTATAATACCACCTAGGATTTATCCCCTACCTATAGGCTCTAATATAATTAACATATTTTTATAATTTTAGTACTAGAGCAACGTAGGTTATTTTCCTGGTGCCGAGACTTCTCTTGAACTAGTATACTAAGATTAGGTAATTTCTTTACTGTATTTAATCTTTAATTTAAAGTATTAGATGTTAGAGAAATATTCTTCTGTCGGATATATTAGTGTAACGAATACTCAAACTGGCTAACTAAACTTGGCTGGGTGTTCGCTGGTTGGTATGCTATGATAAGAAGAAGACTATCGGGTTGTTCACTTGGAAGTGAACTCGTTACTTGTATCAAAGATGTCAAACTAATATGATAAGATTGATAACTAAGTTGAGCACGAAGCTCCTATCTAATGGCAGACGTGCCAGTCTTATATAGAACCTTCGTTCTCCAAATCCCAAATGCCGACAGCGCGCTCGTCGTGCTGTCGAGCGCGACAACTCGCTTGTCGCGCTGTCGGCCTTTTATCACGTGACTATGAATGCTATGAAATCCTTGGATACTCAACAACCCTGAGTAACCACTGCTATGCTATAACTGCTCTGGATGTATCTGTCTTGTCAGAACGCCGTCTGGACTAACTCGTCACATGCTAACACGTGATTCGTGACAATTAGCTTCTATAGACATAAGCTCAAGATTTATGTATCCTAATAGAAGGTTCAAGACCCTACAGTTATAGCGTACGAAGCGTATAAGCAGAATTCTCGCTTAAGCTTCGGTTATTAGATTAGAGTGTAAATTAAGGACCCACGGTACACGTTAGCTTACATATAATAAAGTGGGACGATACTAGGAAAGGACGATATTTTCTGAGCGAACAGAGCTTTAAGTAAGCCTTTTTTGTAAATCCAAAAGTTCATTAGCTCGAAAGCAACTCTTCGGCGAAGTAAGCTGGTAAATGACAGCGGCAAATCTGTCGTGTCAGTCTCTCCAAAGTGGTACTGGTAATAGACGCGGCTCGGTATCACATCACCCGCTAGGTTGAAATTTGTATCTTCGTCCACCACATCCCCACGAACCAATTCCCGTCTGGGGTATGAAAGCGGGGAAGCCTGCATGACTGGGGTTGTTGATAGGTGCGGTTGAACGGTCACCCCGTTGTAACCGAGCTTAGCTTCGTTAAGAGTGGCAGGCCAAAAGCTTGTCCCGATTTGAAGGCAAGAGCAATGCCCAGGAACCAAAAATCCACTGGTTTTCGAATTGAGGAGAACCATCCAATCCTCGAAGACAAATCTTGAGAAATCAATTGTTTACATGGCTTTTGAGTTCTGCGGCCCGAGATGGTCTTTCCCTGTTGTTTTTAGTCATGTGGGCCTGTGCCACAATTTCCACCAATTCTCACCTCTGAGAGGATGAGCAATCGGACCGTTGGGGATCACTTTAGAGAGTCATTTGCACCAGGGCTGAAGGTTGGTTGGAATGGGGTAACTGGGGAAATAGAATTCGCGGGGTTGGACGGAAAAATTCAAACTGGGGTAGCTCCCATGTTGGCCCCCGGTAGATGCATGCGGCGTATGCCCAAATCCTGACCATGGTCGATAATCGTAGCAAAAATGGGAGAGTACAAAAGGTGGCTGCCCTCCAAGTCATTTCTCTTCTCTCTTTTAGTCTTGTACTACACGTTATTCCTTCAGGCATACACCAGCCAAGATGAGTACGGCCGTCGATTCCAAGTCCTATGGGGAGGCCCCAAAGGTCGCCTACGGGGGAGCCCCACAAGCAGAGCTCGGGAAAGCTCAAGTTGAACATGTCTACGACTTGGATGAGAAATCGAAGGTCGCAGATTATAAGGCGGATGCTATGGCGGCAGAGGATGCGGAGCATCAGATGGGGGTGCTGGAAGCAGTTCGAGCGAATCCTATGGCTTCTTTCTGGGCGTTCGTCATGTCTTGCACGATTGTAAGCTCCCCCCTTTATCCTTTCCCTTGCTCGCGAATCTCAGGCGAGAACTCAATTTGTATCACATCATCAGCATACTAGAGGATGATTCTTTCTAACACGAATTCTAGATTATGGAGTCTTACGACGTTTTCCTCATCGGGAACTTCGTCGCTTTACCCGCATTTATTGACAAATACGGTGTCCCACTCCCCGGCTCCCTTACCGGCGAAAAGGTTATCGAAACCAAATGGCAATCAGCTCTCCAAGTTTCAGGGCAGCTTGGTGCACTGATTGGTGTTTTTCTCGCGGGGCCCTTGACTACCCGACTCGGTTACCGTTGGGCGACTTTGACAGGTCTCATGGCCTTGAACGCTTTCATCTTCATCTTTTACTTCGGAGATTCGCTGCCAGTCATCTTCGTGGCCCAACTCTTGGAGGGATTGCCATGGGGAATCTTCATTGCTAATGCTCCTGCATACTGCAGTGAGATTGTGCCTATAAGATTGCGAGCTCCAGCGACGCAGATGCTGCAAATGTTTTGGGCGATTGGTAGTATCATTGTAGGCGCCGTGACCTACGTCTATAATGATCGTAATGACTCCATGGCCTATAGGTATGTGCTAGTTTTATTTCATTTCCCGTAAACCCGTTGCACACTACTTACGAAGGAACCCATGCAGAATCCCAATTGCACTTCAGTGGATGTTTCCAACTCCACTAGCTATACTCATCTTCTGCGCCCCCGAATCACCATGGTGGTTAGTCCGAAAGGGACGCCTTGAAGAGGCAGCACACGCAGTTGGACGTCTGGGAAGAAAGTCGAAAACAAATACTCACGAGACAGTCGCCATGATGCGACGTGTTATTGAGCTCGAGACTTCCGAAAAAGAGCCTAGTCTCTTGGAGTTGTTCAAAGGCACTGACCTGTATCGAACTCTCATTGTGTGCTGTGTATACTTGGCACAAAACTTGACTGGTAACCTGATCGCCAACCAGGCCGTCTACTTTTTCAGACGTAAGTATCATCCTTTTCATCAGTATTATGCTTCACTCGATTGTGTTTGCTAATTGGATCATAGAGGCCGGTGTGAATGTGAATACCGCTTTCGCTCTAGGTCTAATTACCTCGGCTCTTCAAATGATCTTCGTTATGCTCTCCTGGATTCTCACCACCTACCTAGGACGCCGTACAATTTATCTCTACGGCTCAGCCATTAATGTTGCCTTCCTCGTCGCACTGGGAATAGCAGGCTCTGTTGGCACGAGTACTCAATCATCTCTTGCACAGGCATCTTTGGGTCTTATTGTCTCCGTTCTGTTCACCTTAGGACCTGCGCCTGCATCCTGGGTCATCATTGGAGAAACATCTGCTATTCGTCTTAGACCTCTTACGACGGGAATGGGACGTGCTGCATACTATATCGTTGAGATTCCTTGCATCTTCCTTGGAAGTTATATGCTTAACCCAACTGTAAAGCTCTCCCTCCAGGTCTTGCCGCGATCAATTACTAACATTCTATGTGTAGGGTGGAAATCTTGGAGGAAAGTGTGGCTACGTCTGGGCTGGTACAGGGTTCGTTTGCTTGGTCATGGCATACTTCTACCTTCCTGAGATGAAGGATCGCTCTTATCGTGAGATTGATATCTTGTTCAAGCGCAAAGTCCCGGCTCGCCAATGGAAGAAGACTATTGTCGATGTACAGGACGACGAGTAGATGCTGTACTCGTTGAAAAAGCAGTGGAAGAAGATAATGTTCCTTTACTTGTTTACTATATAATTAATAAAGTAGATAAAACAATTTGTATTGTACAAATAGAAGTCTATCTATCTTGCTAAAAAGATTTCTCCCCTTTGCACAAGTTTATGTAAGCATTGGAATTACCGTAGACCAGAATAGGCTATGTGACAAGACTGCTGGATTTATTTTTGAATTTCACCCTACACCTACGGGGAGTAAATTTATAATATACTCGTATTTCCCTTAGCAACAGTGTCTACTTGACTCTGTAAAAGAGGTGTATTATATATACTTCACCTAAGAAACCCCTAGAAGCAACAAGAATTAAACAAGTACAGTGAGTGACTTTGTCCTACAAAGATCTGTATCATACATTCCTACAAATCGCGTGGTTTACTTAATTAACATTTCTCAACTATCAAGTCGCACCATATTAGTATAATTCTAAACCCTCGATTCCTTCCAACATCAAACATGCCAATTGCAAGACGCAACTTCCACGTTCACTAGTTTCATGATATGGATAGTAAAGGCTTATATACTTAAAAAGCGGGTAAATCTGGGTCCAAACGATATTTTAAATACTATCATAGGTTGTTCACATAAAGCCTCTGTGAATTGTGGGTCAGGAGGTCTTGGAAAGATTGGCGTGTAACCAGGCACTGGGCACTTATATAGAAACTTCTTACACCCACCATAAGTGTGTAACCCGTTCGTCTCTAGCGTTCGAAAGCTTTTGCAATCTTCTCACCTTTTATGCTGTCCTTCTTTCTTGGAAATGCCTTGGCAATGCGTATTAAGGACCGACCTTGATTTATAATTCAACAACTGTTTGGAACTTTATTAGGTTATTTGTGAATGACCGCCTACTAGTATACATTTCTTACAAACATTGACGATTCTTGAGACTTTGTGTCTAGCAGTTTCTGATGGTGGCATGGATTAGCTTATACAACCTACGAGTCGAATAAACATAGCAAGGAAACCATACCTCAGGCTGTACTGCACAGCTAAAGGACACAACTTGATCTCTCTCCGTGGTTTAGCTCTGGTGGATGAGATTACATAAAGCTATTACAATAACATCTTTGAGAAGCTAACGTACTTTCCAAAATCATTGTAAAGGTCTCAAACCCCCAAAACTGCTTTTCCTTTAGAGCTATAAAAGCTCCCACGTAAACTTTTATGGAAAGACCGAAACTCATGTATTTGCGCGTGCATAAGTCTGGCGCGCTTGAGCGAGTCCCTAGTTCCGTGTTTGAACTCACTCACGTCAAGACTCTATTTCAAGCTAAATCATTGTGAATCTTTTAGAATACTACCCTGCTTTGATGAGATATTTCTCTCTCATGAAATCCCCCAGAACGTAAATCTAAAATTCGCCAGCAGCCATAAAAATGACAGCAAACACTTTTGGTAATGCAGAAAATTCAGATTTGCTATCCCATACAAATCAAGGACAAAAATGTATAGGCCTCCAAAAACGTCTATATACATGAATGAAGGGTTTTACTGTTATTGTGACATCCTTCCCAACTCGTGGCGGCAACTGCCTTTCTGTCAATGTTTGGTACGGCCTCTGGGGAACTCGCTTGCTGCGATAACGGTCGCTGCTGGTACGGGTTCTATTTATAGGGATTATGTGAGCCTGTTGGATGACACGAAAGTGAATGATCAAAACTTCTCGCCAGTTCCCCAAGATTTGAGAACCAGCAAAATTGAATACGTAAGCCATTTGAGGTTGAAAACAGATGGCCTTTTCTGTTACTTGATAAAATTCGCGTTGTAGAAATGGAGTGAAAGTAATTTCTCTTGTTTATTATGATTTGATAGACTCCTTTAATTTTCTTCATGTTCTGAGACGTACTGAGATTGGGGGTTCAGGGTTTTGAGAGCTTTGGAGCAGAAATATTGACGAGATGGAACAAGGTAAAGAGTTGAAAACAAAAGGATTCTGGGTTATTAGTAAGACCGAGGAAATGAAAAAACCTGTTTCATTCAACCTTCCGTATTCTAAGAACTAAACGTGGAAAGTAAGTGTTCATCATCACAAACAAGATGCTTATCTACCTAAATCAAGACGAGTAACTACAAAGCTACTCCAACAACATTACATCACCAATAAATCAATTCCTTCTAATTTTCAAAACAACCCCCAACAATTCACTCTCCTAAACACCCAAAATCTACTTCAGATCCCTATAGTTTCACTCCTCCACCCAATCCCTATTCCCTCACGATATAAAACCATCCACTCCTCATCAACAAGAAGAAACACAACCACACCACGGCATGGGAAGATGAGAGTGAGCAGTTTTTTGAAGTGCATACCAAGTAATAACGTCCACCTCTCCAGCCGCTTGACAACACTCTCATGAACCCCTACTCCACCTATCCCCATCCCCAAATCCTCACTCCTTCACTCCTCAAACCTACAAACCCACAAAAAGAAAGAACATCGACAGTAAGAAAGAAAATAGCAGCAAATCTCCCATCGAAAGTCGAAAATTCAGATTTTTGATAGCTTAAGTTGGTACTTGAATTTAGTCCTGCTTAGTCCCCGCCAGATCAAAAAAGTTGTCGATGAATGGAAGAGTGACTCGCTCATTGGGTAACCTAGAAATGTAGAGCCCATAAAACTTCAGTCTGTATGTATTATGAATGGATACAGTACTATCGTATGGCAGTATGAAAACTATATTCAATAGCATGAGGTCTTTTTAGACACTACTCCTCACCAATTCAGAAGCGCAGATATAAACCTACCTACTGCCTACCCAAGCCCCGAATCGAATAGACGTCACTACCTGTAGCCCAACAACAACAAAAACAATAGCTAAGACAACACACTATCTTAAACATAACTACCTACGAAATGCGAAGATCATACCATACGTAATGAAAGACTAAATAAAAAATCATAAAAGGGACCTTCCCCACTTAGGAAACGAATAATAAACATCAGTAATAACCTCTTATAAATCCGTGCCCCCAACATCGCATCCAGTATCTACTCTACCTCCTCAAAACATCCCACATTCCCCTGCCCAAACACTAACACCTCCCCTCCCCATTCATTAAACAAAAAAGCAACGACACCTCCAAAAACAACCGCTTGATGGTTTCGCTATACCTGAGGTTGGGAGGGATTTATATGCGGATTTGTAGGATGGGTGGGGTGGGTAAATACTCAGAGGGGAATAAGGAGTTGTAGAGGGATAGTAGACTCGACTCTTGCTTGGATTATTTACTTTACTTACTTTCTTGGTCAGAGTCATGTTTACCTGTTTGCGGCCACAGAAGTAAAGTGAGGATTTGATTTTCACACAGGGAAATGAAAAAATGAGGTGTACATTAACTATTTTCTATGTAAAAAAAAATTGGGTATTATTTCTCGTCCTTCCCATCAGATTAACACCTCCCTTAGCCCCATAAATACAATGCTATCCCGCCCTATCCCATCGCATTCCAAAGTATGAGGCATTCTACCACTTCCTCCACAACGGCTTGACTTCGGACTATATCCATCATGCTTGCCTGCTTGATTCTGTGGTCGTTGAGAAGATGTCCCATCTAATCCCATCCCGTGCACCCACCCTACTTCAAAAGCCTCCTCCCCTTGACCCTGACCCCAAATCGTTCCGTCCCACCTTGCTGCTGCAACTGAAAAAGTCCCAATTGCCCCGTCAGGCCCCCTTCTCTAGCGAGCTTATATCTCCGAAGAGCCTCGCGGAGATGGTCAGGCAGAAGAGGGCCCCGCCGAGTATCCACCTCCCTTGGTTCGCCATCTTCCTCCCGAGGCGGACTGGGAAGACCGTTGACTTGGTCTTCTCGTGTGTTTTCTAGCCATTGGTCTTGTACTCGTCGTGCGCCTTCGATGAGTTCCCCGGCGAAGATTTTGGCAATGGATTTAACGGCTCCTATGACGCTGGGATGTGAGGATTGAGAGAGTGTTTGGTTGACGATCTATATCGCGTTAATTTGAAGTCCAAATTGAGTTTTAACTAAGTGGGAAGGAAAGGTAGATACATACTCTTCTAATCACAGCATCCGGCCATCGACAAGCTCTCCAAGCCTCATACCTTCGAAACTGCTCCGGATCCAGACTCCGCACCAGCAACGCGCGATGTTCTAATTCCCTCGCCTTCTCCTCTTTCGTCCCAGAGGTAAGTTCCAAAGCCATGGTATGACTTCCGCCTCCACCCTCCTCCTCATCATCCAAACTTGCATTACTCGCCCGTCTCTTTTTGCCTGCCGTCGGCGCAGGAGTCCCTGATTTCCCATCCACCACCGACTCGTCATTCGCGCCGCCTTTTGACTTCTTGCTAGGCTTCTTCTTCTTGGGCCGACTGCTTCCTGCGACGCTGCTGGAGACCATGGTATCGGCGCTGGGGGAGCGTGAGAATGCGGGTGAGCGGGAGGATTGCTCGGGAGGGAAAGAGGTTTGGCGGAGAGGATGCGCGGAGCTGGTGGATGTTGTAGAGATCATAGAAGCCTTGCGGCGTTTCATGGAAGGAGCGGATGAGGGCATATCTGATTGACGTCGTTTTGGTGGTTGAGGAAGTTGGGAGTGGGATGGGTAGGAGGGGGAGATGGCCGTATTATAACTGTAGGGAGGCGAGGCCATGGTTGATGGCGACCCGGAGGTGGATTGGCGGATGCGATGCGGTAATGTTCCCCTAGCCTGGTGAATGAAAATGGGGTTTGATTGTGAAGGTCAATTTGTATCTACTGTACATACGAAGTATCAGTATTGTAGTGAATGCGATACTAAGGTGAGTGAAGTGTCACAAGTGAGGATGCGGGATACAATTAGCTTGCGACAGACGAGGCTGAACGCTGTGGCAGGGGCTTGTTAGTGGTGGTGGTGGTGACCTATCAAAGCTGCCGTTGGGCGCCTCAGGCATGCCTAAGCCATTTCTTGGGGTCCAATTGGCAATCGCCCAATCCACGTCCTAAGGGTGGAAGCTTCCATTCGGGGTCCATTGGGTCATTGGATCACTTAGTGACCTCTTACTGTACCTAGGTACCCGTGCTACCCCACTAGCGTCATCTGCAAGTACATTAATTTTGGGAACGAAAGGCTATTGTACTACTAATCGTACACCACCCTTTTTTGGTGTCAGTCCGAATTTTTCGGCCCACGGAATTGTCTCCTCAACAATTCCTCTTCCAATGGTACAATTCACGAACCTGCCAACGAAAGGAACCACCGACGGGGAGGAGCACAATTTCGCCATCATGTCGAGCTCCAATTCTTCCGACGCAGACATCCCCAACGGCTCTAGCAAGCGAAGATCGGACGACGAGGGGTCGAAGAGCAGTAAGAAGAGGAAGAGGAAGGAGAAGGAGAAGAGCTCTAGGAAAACCAATGGCGTGTCCAAGAGACGTCACAGTGTCAGCAAACCCGCGAGAGACCCCAGAGACGAGGCTTCACCGGCTTCAAAGGACGACGAGGACGAGGTGCGCTCGCTAAGTCCAGTCATTGATTTTGATGGCTTGAGCAGACCAAGTATGACCATCTGTTGTTTCATGCCTCAATGACATCATTTCTGATTTTGGGCACAGGTCTTGGGACGAGAGAAAGGAAAGAGGAGAACCCGGAACAAGCTGCGGCCCGTCTAAAGAAGCTATCTGGGGCAGTTCGAACCATTCTTGAATGCATTGGCGAGGATCCCGATCGAGAAGGTCTACTGGGCACACCCGAACGATATGCAAAAGCGATGCTCTACCTTACCAAAGGATACCAGGAGAATGTCAAGGATATTGTCAACGATGCTATTTTCCACGAAGGACACAATGAATTGGTCATTGTAAAGGATATCGAGGTGTTTAGCCTCTGCGAGCATCACATGGTCCCATTTACTGGAAAGGTGAGATTTGAGTTCAGAATACCAAGGCGATAGCTCCTGCTGAACAATGACTCGTAGATGCACATAGGTTACATCCCCAACAAAGATGTTATCGGAATCTCGAAACTTCCCCGAATCGCAGATATGTTCTCCAGAAGACTACAGATCCAAGAACGACTGACAAAAGATGTTGCACATGCAGTCATGGAAATTCTCAACCCACAGGGAGTCGCAGTCGTGATGGAGTCGAGCCACCTATGTATGGTCATGCGAGGTGTAGAAAAGACAAGCGCAACGACAATCACGAGTTGCGTACTTGGGTGCATAGAGAAGAGAGTGAAGACTAGAAACGAATTCTTCAGTCTGGTGGGTCTCAATAGACGATAAACACAACAAGACATACAAATCAGGGAGGCACTTTTTGAATGAATGCATTAGAAGGCGTTTGGTATTAAATGGTAGGGTACTTTTGGGCTCCGCGGTCTTCAACACCATGCAGGTTCGGCGTTTTATTTGGTCTTAACGCCATCTTATATTGATCTTTTGCGAAGATAAGAAATTCGAACATCACTCACTAAATACGAAAAGAATTGAAGGGGTTGTCTATCTATTTTTCAAAACTCTTTCATGCTATGACTGCGACCAAGCTCCAACAGTTCCAAGTTCTCTCCTCAATCCGCTCTCTACATCCCTGACGACCTTCGCTACATCACTCAGAATTGATTCAGCAACCTCTTCTACACTGGAACCCGCATCGATAACGGTCATATCAGTTGATTCCTCCCCACCCCTGACAGTCAATCCAAGGAATCGCTCGCGAACTCTTTCCTGCATTTCTCTCTTCTCGTACTTCTCCTCTCCATACCCTCCTCTTTTTTCTGCTTCTGCAGCACTTAAATCTAGGAATATTACTCGATCAGGGCGTGGTAAACCGACTTCAGGAGAACGTGCCCAATCTAGGGAGAGAGCGGGATTGTTTTTGGATGCGCTATATACCATTCCTGAGTAGTAATAGCGATCGCAAATGATGGTTGTGCCGAGGGAGATTTGTTGCTTGATGTAGGAGCTGGGAGGTGTTAATGTCGTAACTAAGAAAAATAGGGATATTTGGTGGTAAGGAAGACATACGCTCTCTCCCATCTATTTGCAGAGAAGAGGAGGTGGATTGCGTGGTCATCCATTTCGGTGGTGTTTTCTAGGTAGCTGTTTATCATTCTTCCAATGGGGGTTGTTCGATCTGTACATCTCGGTTCTTAGCATGCACCAAGGCAATAGAACACCATAAATCTCTGATCAATTGGACTGTCATTCAAGATAGAAAATTCAAGTACCTGGAAACCTTAGCGTCTTGACATTATGTCCCTGCGCGTACAGTGTATCGCACAGCTTCTGAGCCTGTGTCGTCTTTCCCGCTTTGTCCAACCCCTCTATCACAATAAATGCCCCTCTAGAAACGGGCGTGCTGGGCTCTCGGTATGGATACGCTTCAGAGATCGCCATTATCGGTATTTGATTTTGTGTTTTGGGGATTCAATTGGAGATTGTTGGGGTATATTGGGTTGCTGGCTCCGAGGTTGTGAATTGGAGAAAGTGGTACGGAATTCGCGTTCGTGGGGTGGGAAGACGCGACTTGGGTGAAGTTGTGCTTTTGCCAAGCCAGCGTCATTTGGCCTTCCGCCCCGGAGCTCTATACAAATATCTTGCGACCTTTACGGTTTGTACCTATGACCATATCCCTCTTTGTGACCATTGACGACTTTTACGACTGAATATCCGAACATTCCGCCTGCGAAACTCATCTACTGGACTCACGGTCACCAGCGCTTTCTCTGTCTCTTCTCCGTTGTCACCAACTCTGACCTCTCTGTATGCGCCCATCACAGTAATATAGAACGGAGCTTCCTGAACCTCCCCACGCCCTGTTTAGAATTGCGCCGAATCAACTACCACATCGGCCCTCACAGCCAGTTTCATAAGCCTTCGCCATGTCAGCGACGGAACAGAAGCTGGTCTGGAATCCAGACAACATTCGAGACATCGCCGAGTCAGTGGGAATAGCACAATTGAATGAGGATGCCGTACGATCGCTATCAGCAGAGGTTGAATACCGAGTAGGACAGGTTATCACAGAAGCTATGCGAGTGATGCATCAGGGAAAGAGAACGGTTTTGGGAACTCAGGATATATCACAGGCGCTGAAGGTCTTGGATGTGGAGCCATTATATGGTTACGAATCTACACGACCTCTGAGATTTGGGGAGGCCTCTTTAGGTCCTGGTCAACCTCTGTTCTATATTGAGGACGAGGAGGTGGATTTTGAGAAGCTGATAAATGCACCATTACCAAAGGTACCGAGGGATATGTCGATTACTGGTATGTTGTTCTAGTGTCTATTGGGGAGCGTTGCTGACTTTAAACAGCACATTGGCTTGCCATCGAAGGCGTTCAACCTTCAATACCTCAGAACCCAACAACAGCGGAGGCAAGAGCTTCAGAATTAGTACCAAAGGGACCCGGCGCAAACCCAGCTCTTGCAGCTCTGGCAGGAATCGACAATGTAGCATTCAAACCCCTCGTCAAACACGTCGTCTCAAAAGAACTCATCCTCTTCTTCGACAAAATTCGACAAGCAATCCTCGATGAAGACCCTGACCCAGACGTCGCAACCCTCCGCGCAGCAGCCCTTGAAAGCGTCCGTTCAGATCCAGGTCTCCATCAACTAGTGCCCTACTTTGTAGAATTCGTAGCGGAAAAAATCACGCATTGCAGCAACAGTCTCTTCATCCTGGGTCGAATGATGGAACTCATCAGCGCAATAATCGACAACAAAACTCTCTTCATCGCACCATATGTCATTTCCCTCTGTCCCACCATCCTCACCTGTCTCACCGCACGCCATCTCGGTCCCGAAGGCCAGAATCTCGAGACGTTGAAAGATCAATTCCAATTACGTGATTTAGCTGCTTCCCTCATTGGCAAAATCTCCCATAAATACGCAGAGACTAGCGTCCAGCTACGACCCCGTCTTACCAGAACATGTCTCAAATACTTCCTCGACCCCAAACACACTCTCGGCGGGCACTACGGCGCCATCTCCGCTCTCCGCACTATCGGCGGTCCGGAAGTCATCCGTGCCATCCTTCTCCCCAACATCAAACCCTTCTCAGAGCATGTCATTGCAAAAGCTATACAGGAAAGAGGGGCGGGAGATGAGAGTGTGAGTATGGTCCTTGCGGCCTTGGTCAAGGCTGTTGCTTGTCTGGGTGAGGGCAGCAAGGAAAGCTTCCTCACGAATGGGAATGCGATGAATGGCGTGATTAGTACGGGGGATACACTGGCTATGGAGGAGTTCTTGGGGAAGGAGGTGGGGAGTAGGGTTGTGCTATTGGGGGATGCGGGGTTGAATAAGGCGGTTTTGGAGGCGAGGGAGAAGGGGAAGTAGGGTTTGTGGAGGGAGGGGGGGAGGTGATGGGATGGGAAAGGGAGAGTGAGAGGGGAGGGAGGTTGTATAATACCCGTGAAAGAAAGGAAGGAAAGAAAAGAATTTGCATGGGATAAACTAGTTATGGGTGGGAAGGGCGTTAGCAGGCGAATACGTTCTTGGAGAATCTATGGAATGGGAATGTTTTTACCTCCCTGTCGACTTTGGTTATTTAAGTTCTCTTTCTATACTTGAAAGTAGATTCAAATACGAAGAAATTTATCTATCAATAATTTATCTATACTATGGCATCTCTGTCACCCGAAAATGAAATACATATATACACTATTCGGACTCCCATCCGTGGAAGAGATACTTCTATAACTCAACAATGAACATTTGCGTTCCTCTTGCTTACTGGTTGTTTGACTTGAGATCGGGTGATGGTAGGAGGTAGGAGGTAGGAGATTAGGATGTGGAAACCTGGAAATTGATAGAGCAAGGTGAGATTGTGGGTTAAGGGTTATGGGGTTGGAAAGAAGAGGAATGGATGATGGTGATTCGTGAGAGAGGAATGGAATTTGGTGGTGATTGCGGAGGTTTGGGGGGGAGGGGTGGGTTGTTTTAGGGTGTTGAAATGTAATGGTTTATTTGTTTTGAGTGGGTTATATATGGGGATGGGGATGGGGATGTACTTTGCTGGATGAAATTTTGTCTTTTTTTTGTTTAGTAGTGAAGGATAGTGTTTGTTAGTAATGTGGAAATTGATGGAGTGAGTGTAATAGTACAGTAGTTAAGTGAAAGGGAGGTGTGAGGATTTTCTGGGGGGTNGGGAGGGGTGGGTTGTTTTAGGGTGTTGAAATGTAATGGTTTATTTGTTTTGAGTGGGTTATATATGGGGATGGGGATGGGGATGTACTTTGCTGGATGAAATTTTGTCTTTTTTTTGTTTAGTAGTGAAGGATAGTGTTTGTTAGTAATGTGGAAATTGATGGAGTGAGTGTAATAGTACAGTAGTTAAGTGAAAGGGAGGTGTGAGGATTTTCTGGGGGGTGGTCTTGGGATGAAGGATATAGTGAGAATGGTGGTTGAAATACGGTGTGAGTGGGGACAAGACAAGTTGTTGATGTATATGAATCTAGGGGTGGGTTAGTTTGTGTAATTCGGAAGGACGTGTCGTTTTCTGCTAACCGGTGGATAGAATGTTGGAGAAAGGTTTTGAGATAGGATGTGTTGTTGGTAGGTCTGACGAGTGTTTTCCACACATGGAACTGGATGGAATGGATCTATACGATAGAATCCCGGCATGCATTGCAAAACAGGAGGAGTATATAATAGGCTATATAAACCAGTCTACTTCTCGAAGTAGCCTGCTTGACGGTCATCCGCAGATCACTCTTTTCAGTCATCCTGCAACTCTCGGCACTTCACACACATAATCTTTTTAATAGGATGTAAATTAAGGCGTCTTACATGTCTTACGAGATGAAGGGTATTTGTGGTGGATATGCGAGTGAGGATTGTGAGTCTGAGATTCGTAAGATTTGTCAGATTGGGGACTCCTTGTTTTGGTTTTAGTAATCGGGGCTGTAGAGTTTGATGGGGAGTCGTACAGTACTTGGGAATTTCTGTAGGTTAATTGGTTTTGTGGGGTTGTTGTGGTTTGTTTGTTGGTGATGATTGTGGGGATTGCTACTGAGTGTGGGATATTGAGTTGGAGCAAGTGTTGATACATGGTTGGGGGAGAAGTTTTCTATGGGGGCTCGAGTAGATAGTTCACTTTGATTAGTACTAGAACTAGTACTTGAGTAGGTGCCTGGTGGTGCTAAATACTATCCTCAACAGTTGTTCATAGATTAGGGCGGTGATATCACCAATGCTATATCGGAAGGGTCTCCGAAAAGTTTTATGTTAGATTAGTACGTACTTGTAGAGACGAATCAATATACCAGCAAGCGAGCCAAGCTAAATCCAAGGTTTACCTGTAATACCACCAACCATTCTTCCTAAGTCGACGAATAAAAAACCCACTCGCAGATATACGGAAAGACCATACCGCTTGTGGCTTCAATACTACCCTAGCCCATCTTCAACAATCAACATCATTCCCAGGTACGGAGCCCCATTATCTCCGATTCGTTGGGTAAACTGACGGGATTATCACTTGCATGTGTATGTACTGTGCAACACCACCCACCTTATCTCGGGATGTGCTACATTGCACCACTTAATCTATCAATGTCATGTCAATCCCGGGTACATTTATATATTTTGTAATCCCCACTGTAAGATTATTTACCACCCTCTCTACATTTTCCTCTCCATCCATAATCCACCATCCACCATGGCAACAACAGTAACCCACACAATCGACGAAGCAAAGCTCCACATAACATCCGTTTTCCAACACAGCTCAGGCGACCACGCCATCATCGACCACATAGCCGACAGCGACGAAGAAATCCTCGTCGCGTTAGGATACAAACAAGAATTCAAGCGAGATTTCTCGATATGGTCTTCCTTTTCCGTTTCGTTCGCTTGCTTGGGGCTTTTACCTTCGATTGCTTCGACGCTGGTTTATAATCTGGGGTATATTGGGTTGAGTGGCTCGGTGTGGGGGTGGTTGGTTGCGGCGCTTTGGATTCAGTGTGTTGCGTTGGCGATGGCGGAGCTTTGTAGTAGTATGCCGACGGCGGGGGGGTTGTATTATGCTTCTTCTGTTTTGGCGCCGGAAGGTTGGTGATGTTTTTTTTCTTGAGTTTGGGATTGTTTGTGGTTTCTTTGGATGTCTGAGATTGAGAACGGGATATCATATGACTAACTCGTTGATCAGGCTGGGGACCTTTATGTTCATGGGCAAGTCATTTTCCTATCTGTACATGGTAAAAGAGCTAACAACTCTCAAGATAACAGGATGGTCCAACTTTCTTGGTCTCTTGACAGGCCCTCCATCCGTGAACTACACTCTTTCCCTTATGATCCTCACAGGAGTACAGATTTCTGATCCCACCTACACAATCCAAATTTGGCATGTCTACCTCCTTTTCCTGTCAATTCTCATTCTCCAGGGATGTATCGCGATGAGCAACACGAAGTTCCTTGGGAGAATCAACATGTTCGGTGCGATTGTCAATCTGGTTATGGTTTTTGTCTTCATCATTTGGATGCCAGTTGGGGCGATCAATACACCAAAGACGAACAGTAATCGCGAGGTATGGGTAGATGGGTTTACTAATGGAACGGAATGGCCTGATGGATTTGCGTTTTTGATGGGATTCCTGAGTGTTATTGTGAGCTTGACTTCCTTTAAATTGCCAACAAGGGTAACTGCTGATTATCGACAGTGGACAATTGCTGGATTCGAGTGAGTTTGATTCGCTAAATGAAGGGGTATCACCTAATTTACATCAGTGCACCTTTCCATCTTTCAGAGGAATGCCCAAATGCCAATATCGCGGGTCCTCGCGCCATCGTTCTCACGGCGCAAATGGGTTTGTATCTCGGTTGGGCGATAATTTTGGTGATTGCATATACAGCAAAGGATATTGGAGAAATTGTTGCTGGACAGTATGGTCAGCCAATGGTATGTACCACTCCGCCAATTGTGTGGACGAGGTTCCGAGCTAATGTCGAAAAAGGGAAGTCTATGTCTGCAGGTTCTGGGACCGAAAGCTGGACTTGCTATGTTCTCGCTTAATATGTTTGCCCAATTCTTTACTGGTCAAGGGTGTGTTACCATTTCGATACTTGCATTAAAATTTCCATCATGTTGAAATGGAAGAGGAAAGATTACTGAAAACTCATGATCTCTAGTATACTCGTCAGCGCATCACGCGTTACATTTGCATACTCACGAGACGACGCACTCCCCTTCTCCCGTTGGCTAAAACAAGTAAACAGCCGCACAAAAACACCAGTCAACGCAGTCTGGTTCGTTCTCTTCATCGGCGCACTCCTCGGCCTCCTGGGCTTCGCAAGCCCAGTCGCAATCGGAGCAGTTTTCTCCATAGGCGCCATCGCCCAATACATCGCCTTCATTTTCCCCATCGCGCTCAAACTCTTCGTCGTAGGCGATAGATTTCGACCTGGTAACCCCCACCCCCTCCCTCACCCATGAGTTTCGCTAACCCCGTTTCAGGACCTTGGCATCTCGGTCGCTTCTCGAAACCGGTTGGCGGAATTGCTTGTGCGTTTGTTGCGCTGATGATCCCTATTCTGTGTTTTCCTTCTGTGAAAGGGGCAGATCTGGATCGCTTGAATATGAATTATGCGTGTTTGATATATGGGGGATCGATGTTTTTGGCGATGGTTTGGTATGCGGTGGATGCTAGGACGTGGTTTAAGGGGCCGAGGATTAATGTTGAGCATTTGATGGATAATAGAGTTGTGGAGAAGAGAGAGAATGGAGGCTTAGATGGGGAAAGGAAGTCAGAGTGAGTCATGCGCGGCGCTATATATGGTGTAGACAAGTATGTTGTCGTTTTGAACGGTATTTATAACACCAATCGAAGTAGAAATCATTACAGAGGTATTTTGGATAATTCGACTCTCTCCATTGCTTCCATTATCGTGTGGCCAGTCTTGCCAGTGCTTCGATAATTTCGCTTGCGAAGTAAACGACTCACGAGATAGGTCACGTGAACAGCGACTGAACTTTTTACCTATCCTTGGGGTATTTCAAGGTCGTTACCATTATCAGTCTATTTATGAAATGATTTAAAGCTCCATACGATAACTAATCCCGCTGCGTGTAGACTTGTGGGCAGACCCTACATGTATCACTGCCATAGTAAAAAATATAGTAGCATAGGAAAGTAGGTCCTTGGAGAAGTGGAAGCACATTTGATGTGAAGACTCATGCAAATTGACCGCAAGCCGATAGTGATTGATTTTTGCATTTTTCTGTCAAAGGGTAACTGTGAAAGAACTCACTTAATTGTCTATAAATTAAACATTTTCCTCCCCTACTCTCTACCCCAAATCCTCAGACATCCAACATAGCAGTACTTTCCTCGCCAGAATCACTGATAGCAGTCTTCTTCTCTCTTTCCATCGCCACCAAAGAGAAAATTACCATCACCCCCCACCCAAAGCCACAAATCAAACCCACCAAAAGCCCGACCCCATTCCACTCCCTCTCCCAACTCAGAAGTGCCCTCACGAGCGGCAACACCCAAAACCCCCAGAAGCAAGTAAAAAACAACGAGAGGACCAGCGACCGAGATGGTGGCATCCGAGAAACGTGATGTAGAATAAGAGACAGCAGTGAGAAAAGAATGCTCAGAAGAGGGACGCAATAGAGAAACATATTATCAGTACTAGAAGATATCAGAGTCTAGTTGACAATACATAGCGTATGAAGAAACCTAAAACCTACCTTCGATTTTGCGAGGGGTCATTGCCAGTTTTGCGCGGTTTGGGAAATTGAAGACTCGTTGGACAAGGTCTGGTCATAAATGTTATGAGGAATTCGGTTATTGAGAGGAAGAGGATTGAGAGGGTGAGGTATGGTATTTTTGGTAGAGGTGGTCCCTTCCATCGCGTGTCGATGAGGGGCTTGGGGAGGGAGGTTAGATATCGGAGAATGGGCATGGTGAGTTGGCGGTACCGGTGCTATTGTTGCCAATGAAGGTGCGGAGGGGAAAAGCCATATTTATTATTCTGGAAATGCAGTCAAAATTCATGAGGAAATAAAGCATGAGAGGATTCCGAGTACATCAGATCCTCTGGTTAAAGTCCGCTTTAGGGGTGTGAATAATTCATGAAGTAACAAATAATTTTGCGCGAAAGAGCCAATGAGGAAGATTATCGTAACTACAATTGACAAATAATGCCTTAGTCACCTCCTTTCTGCAATGCTGCTCAGCCACCGATAAGAGTATTTAACCGATAGTTTTCAAGCCCAAGCCTCCTAGTTCCTGGAAATACTCTGTTGCCTGTGCCTAGAGTGCGTAGATTACGAGATTGGTGCGTAGTACAAGTACCCATGTAGAAATCCTACTGTAGCGCTAAAGATACCTGCACAATAGCAACGAGGGGTGTGAAGATCAAATAGAATTGCGTCATTTGTTTAGCCTCAGTTATTAATGCAATGATGAAGTTCAGATACGAATGCCAGATCAAGAATCTACGGTAGGAATACTTTTACGCGCTGAGGTTCTCCGGTCACCCGCGAAGGATTTGGGAGGGTGCGCGAAACGAATCGTTCATGGAATGGATCCTCCACGATGGCAAAGGTGCGATTCGCACCATAAGAATTTCAGACACGTTATTAAAACCTCCAAAGGTTCTACGATAATTCTTTAAACCAATGAAGTTTTCTGATAACCAATTTAAATGCAGCGCCTCCCAAGATATAAAATGGGAAAATATGTGACCTTCTGATGGGGGCTGTAGGTGAGGGGATGAGCTGAGAACCTCGAAGAGGAATGTGCAGGGCGAAATGCATACTACAGAAAGATTTTCCTTGAATTCATGGTGTTTGGGAGAATTCTGGCCGCATCCTCCGCCCCGACTGATTTCCAAATTTTGTTGGTATCAGGTTGAGGTTTGCTTGGTGCCTGGCTCTCGCTAACCCTGGATTTAGGGGAGCCCATTTTTTAACCGAAGGCATGCTCCTCTCCAATACTACAAGAGTCTGTGGACGACCATTGGATTGAATGCCGAGAGATATGTGAAAGCACGCGAACCTTCGAAGATAAACCAAGTTAAGATGCATTACCTACGATGAGGTCTACGTATTGTAGGCTATTACACTGCCGTGTCTCCTAAGCGAGGGGGACTTGTCAAGCTGCGTGGGTTTCAAGTGTCACAAATACTCCTGAGGGTCTTCGACATTGACCATTGTTGTTTTCTCGCCTTGAGTTTTAACTAGAATCAGAATCAGAATCAGAATCACAAAAAATCAAAAGGAAACTCTTCAATCACAAGTCCGTCACGGTAATGTTTCCAATCCTTGACATCGGCCCCATGTCTTACCAACAGCTGCAATTTTGCCTTATTTCTGACATTATACAAGGCTGTCTGTTTGAGATCGTTTCTGGTGGAAATATTTGCTCCTGCCTCAAGTAAAAGGTTTGTCACCTCGATAATTTCTTTATCCTCCGAGAACCCCCACCAAGTCCTCGAGGCAGCAACATGAAGCGGTGTATCTCCAGCGTTATCACTAACTTGGACTTGTGCTCCGCGCTTCAACAAAAGCTGTAAAGCAACCCCAGTATCGGCGTAGTATAGAGCTGTTCTACCCTCGGTATTTCTGGCATGGATATCTGTCCCCTCCTCGAGTAAGAATCTTATCACACCAATAGATTCTGTGTCTAGTCGACTCGAAAGACAGTGTAGGACAGTGTTTCCACATTCATCGACGTGTTCAATACGTAACCCCCGGCTTACCATCAACTTCATAGATGCCTCATCATCAGTGTAATATCCAGCTGTCCTTCCGATGCTATCTATGGCGTGAAGATCGGCCCCCTGGTCGAGCAGAAGACTTATGATCTTGAACCCATTACCAAGCGCTCCTCTCCTTGCCGCTAAGTGCAGAGGCGTTCTGCCAATCTCATCCTTCTAATTGATATGTGCTCCATGCTTGAGTAGCAGCTCCGTTACAGCATCATCCTCGACGTAGAACAACGCTGTTCTGCCCTGATTACATGTAGCATGAACATCAGCCCCATTCTCCAGCAATAGCTGTACTATTGTTAGGTGACCGGCTCGTGAAGCTTCATGTAATACTGTTCCAGCGGACGTGTTTTTTGCTTCCAAATCTGCTCCGTTCTCTAGTAACAGTTGTACTATTGTTTGGTAACCCGTTCGTGAAGCTATATGTAATGCTGTTCTACCGTACGTGTCTTTTGCTTCCAAATCTGCTCCGTTCGCTAGCAATATTTGTACTACCGTAAGATGGTTATTAAAGGTAGCTAGATGAAGCGCAGTTTGATCATTCATATTACGCTTTGAACTATCCGATCCATTCTCTAGTAGTATCTGAACAATCTGGTCGTGGCCATCGGAAGCACGCAAAGTAGTGGTGTCCAGCCTTGAATGTATGTAGCAGTCGTATCTGCGCCACACTCCAACAGGAAATTTACTGTATTGACGTTTCCTTTGGCAGCTGCGGCATATAAAGGCGTTTCCCGGTGATCTCCCTTCCCCTCAATACTGATTCCAAGCCTCAAAAGTCTCTGGATGAGACTATCTAGACCGAATTCTGCAGCAAGCACAATTCCAAGGACTCTGCCAGGTTGCCGATCTTTCCACCCATCATAAGAAAAAAGTGAATACGCGGATTCAGCAATTTGCGCAGCAGCAGATGTTAAGAGTCCCGTCATTAAGAAACTCGAAGGCATATTCCTCTACCGCGGCATTCTGGGCATTGGTAACATGATCATCCCAATGCCTTACAGCATATTGAATGAGAGCAAAATCAGGAAGCCATGATTCAAATTCTCGCTGCGTTTGACAGGCACCGTTTCTGAATTGATCCATTGATAGATACCGAATGGAGGCAATCGCGATGTCGGTATGAGCCATTGGAAATAGCTTGCTACGATGTTTTTCGAAATATTCCTGGGTGGTGTAATGAACAAGACGAACATTTCTACTATCTTGATCGATAACCACCAATCCTCCACACGCAGTTGTGATGTCAGACTCATCGGCGAGACCTTCTTCATCAATCGTAGTATCCTCGGGTTCGAAATTGGTGACAGCAACAGCGTGCTGGATCTCACCCATTTTCAGTGGTCTAATTACATGCGTGATCCATGATAAGACCATGATTGCCAGCCTTGCTTCATCCTCGGGTTGTCGCTGGATTCTTTTCATCGCCTCCTTGTAGACATCGTCACGTGCCTCTGGCAAAATATCCAAGGATTTCCGAAGGCTCTTGATATCTGTCTTGCTCTTGAGTGACTCCAGGTGTAGTTCAGCGAGAAGAAACCTAATCAAGTCAATAAGAACCTCATTTGGGGAGATAGGCTAAAACCAACATCCCGTTTGCTTTTTCAACCAATTTCTCAACGATACGCGTTTTGAGGTCTTCCGATTTACAACAAAACCTGACGACTTTGGGTACTTGTTGTATGTGTACGTCCAGGTATTTCGTAATGTCTTCATCGCTTGCTCTAATTTCTAGATGCGGAGCGCCTTTGAACAAGTCTTCAATATCGCCGAGATGCCGCGAGGTGCACAGTAATCGAACGTTAGGTGATGACAGAAATCCATTTTGGACAACCACTTGATGATAGATTGGCTTTCTTGATCTTACTCTTTTTAGTATGAACTACTCGATTTACGGAACACACCTACCATTATGATGAGCTTTGATAGAAAGCCCCAAGCTATGAAATTGGTCCGAGAGATGCTCCAACTGCGCGCCGTGTTCCGTCGTGAGATTGCTAGGACTTGTCAATGCCACTACCAACCAATTGAGCAGATTTGCCAAAGTGACTTACAGGTGAAGTAATTCAACAGCCAAATTCAAGTTCTCGCATATATCGGCAATAATCCCCATCAACTTCAACAGCGTGCTCTCTCGGAAAGGATAAAGAAGTCGGCGTCCTTGTCCGTGTATCTTGGACCAAACACTTGACCCTTGGATCTCCTGGACCTTATTCAACTCCTGTTGTAGCTTATCAATGCCAGCCTTACAGCCGATGATACCTTCCCGTATTCCAGCCTCAGCCTGTGTAGCTACTCCCTCTTCTCTGATACTAAGCTTTAGAACGTTCAAACTTTCTTCCAGACTTTTCACTGACTGGCACATCCGTAGCACCTCGGTTGGTGCATCCTTCCAGGAACCATAGTATTTTATAAGCCCATCGCAGACTTGCATACCCAAAGAGACGATCCCTACCGCACTTCCAGCAATGCCGAGCTCAGACATACCGCAAGTCCACAGCTCTAGCTATGGCAACAGTAAAGAATAGATTTGTGGTAGAACAGGCGTCGAGATCTGATAGAAAAAGAGCCCTGTGAACAATGTCTTGTGCAGAAAATATTCCTTCATGCTGGAGTGGAATTCAGCCACCATGCTGACTACATGGTGAAGAGCAAATCACGTATGATGCCGAGAAAAAGATACAATAGACAGCCGAAGTATACATTTACTAGCCGTTAAATGTATCTGAAAGGAGGATAACAGAACAATATTCATTGGTGCAATAAAATCTCATCTTTTATTATTCATTGGTTTGTTGGATTTTTAGGAGAACCTCCAGCTTACTGGAAGTATGATATATCACGTGAAGCTCGGCGTTTGTCCTGCCGAGTCGGCTCCTTTCTTCCGAGGAACTAAGAGCCAACGACGACAACATTCTAACGCCAACTCTTGCTCCTGTAGAATGCTTTCGGTCATTTACAGGAGCTTCACTATTACAAATTATTCCCAGAAGGTATGTGAACTACCTTACTTAATAAACCAATTACGTGTGCTGGACTGCATTCTATGGGATAGGAAGATTCTAGGTAAGTGCTGTATGCGCCGGCCTCACGGATTATCTTTTAATTGCATCTAGTCCATTTTTTCAAGATGGCATATGGAGAAAACAACCCAGAGGAGCGATATAGTCTTCTGCGAAGAAGCGAGGATTTAGAGGACCCAGACAATCCAATTGACGAGTCTACGCGGACCAGACCGATAGAGGTAGACGATCTCTCGGACGATACTCCAACTCCACGTTTTCTGCAGGATCTGGGCTCCTACAAATATATGAAATGGGTACCGGTACCAGTCCGACGGGCTTCCAAAGCGGTCCGGCTGTGGGTGAAGGGACCAGATTCTCCTGAGGTTCATACCATCACCCTGTTATTCCCGGTCATACAAAAGTTCCCTATTCGATTTCTGGACCACTGTGTGCCAAAGAAAAGGCATCGAATCTTGCTTCTGGTTGCTTTTTACCTTTCTTGGATCCTCACTTTTGCTTTGGTTATGCGCGAAAGTACATTTGCAACGGAGATTGAAGGATGGGGAGTCCCGGGAAACATAGGTTGTGGAAATACATACTGGGTTCCTGGAAACAGCTGTGGTATGAACGGAAATGACTGTCGGCCATTCAATGGTAGCGGCTTTGCTTTCAGATGTCCTGCCAATTGTGCAAGTCAGCAAGTTTTGAATATTAGAGCTGTGGGAGCACAAGAGATCATCTACCAACCTCTTGTGATCGGCGGCCCGTCCGAAGAGGATGATACTCAATACTACAGAAGCGATTCTTTCATCTGTAGTGCTGCTATTCACGCCGGGGTCATTGATAATACCAAGGGCGGCTGTGGCGTGGTTTCTCTCGTTGGAGAACATAGCAACTACGCGAGCTCAAAACGCAATGGGATAAGGAGCATTGCGTTTGATTCAACGTTCCCTTCTTCCTTCACGTTCCATTCTGGTACTACCTGCGCTGCAAAAGATCCACGCTGGTCGCTTCTGTTCGTCTCGCTTACGTATACCATTCTACTCTCGTTATTCACAACATCCCCGGGCCTGTTCTTTTTCAGCATTTTTACAGGTATTTTTGCTCACGTGGGACTTGCTTCTGATCCACCTGGTCACAGCTCAATTCCGAATCTTCTCTCGAACCTTTTGGGGAAGTTTCTACCAGCCGCTTTCTGTGCTTTCGTCATCTACAAATACATGGGTGTACATCGAGCTCTCAATGGCCTCACCGCACAAATTGAAAAGACGATTTTATGGCTTGGAGCTTGCTGGGTTGGGGCACTTTCAAATTACACCTTTAAGTGGATTCCAATTCAACGGCTTAACGCTCATGACATCAGACAGCAACCAGGAGCAAAACTCGCATTGATTCTTATAGTGCTGTTCATAGTTCTCGTTGTCCTGAAACAAATCTATTTTTTTCAGCGAGAAGGCAGACTAATCCGGTATCTGGGCATATACGGTATCTTATTAACTGCCATTCTTGTGTCACTAATAATTCCGGGGCTCAGTTTACGCATCCACCATTACATACTGGCTCTGCTACTCCTTCCGGGAACCAGTATGCAAACACGACCCGCACTCGTATACCAAGGTCTCCTAGTCGGCCTTTTCATTAATGGAATTGCACGATGGGGATTCGATTCCGTTCTACAAACTCCGGATGCTCTTCAGGGTGATGCACCACACAACTCCCGCCTTCCCACAATCTCGAAGCCAGCTATATCAGTGGCAAACTCGACCATCGATTTTCACTGGCTTACACCACCCGAGCCCTATGATGGGGTTTCCGTGCTCGTCAATGATGTGGAACGGTTTAGAGGGTACACTGATGAAGGGCTCGCAGGCGACCAAAAGTTCGTATGGAGAAAAGGTGGGAAGGAAGAACCATTGTACTTCCGATTTGCGTATATGCAAGGAAGTACTGCCTGGGATTATACTCGCGCGGGTATTTGGGCAGAGGATGGGCAGTGGATTCCTATGGAGGCTGGTCCTAGTAAGGTTAAGAGAAGTGCTGCTGAGGATGGTGTGAGTCTGGTGAAGAGGGAATTTCATGATTCGAGGGTGAGACTATGATTGATGAGACATGATGATCCTACGGGTTTTTAATAGAGAGGGATTGGGAATTGTATTTAGGGAATGAATAAAGGTGGGACATATTATGAAGTACACTAGTGTCTTGAGATATTGGTGAAATATAATATTCTTCAAGTGACTCCAGTTATTTATATCTTCTGTCAGGGCCCACTTCACTTCAATATATTATGATACGCTGTATGTTCATGTATTTCAATTTTCTCTTCAAACTCCAGGAGAGGCAATTGATGTACTGGCTTCATGGCGGTGGAACTAACCTATAGCAACATTATTCCTTACAACTTAAATAACTGTTCAGCCATTCTCTGATTCCCCGTATAATTGCATACAAATTGAAATCGACTTCGTTCATCATCTATCTTCTAGTAATATTGAATATTGGCATAGGAAGTAAATGCCCCGCGTTCCACACATGGAATGGAGCCCGAATGACTCCACTTATCCGACCCACAACCACAAAATTTTCACCCCACGCCAAATTGCTACCTTCTTATTATTAAATAAGCAAACTGGCATTAACCAAAAAACAAACAAAAACGATCGCTTAGCTCAGTTGGTTAGAGCGTGGTGCTAATATATCCCTCACAAGATAACGCCAAGGTCGCGAGTTCGACCCTCGTAGTGATCATCTATCTGTTCTTTTTGCTGTTTTTGAAATAGTTTTGTCTACTTTTTTTGTCTTTTGGACATAGATAGGGTTAGGTTTTGAGGTTGGTCTAGCTTTTTGATCTGTGTTAGAGGGAAGGGGGTAGGTAGGTGGGGTTCCTTCCTTGTGGAAACGGGGAATAAATATGTTGAAGTGAAGGTCTTTCGATTTAGTCAGTGATATGTTGTGAGTCATTACCGAGTTCTGCTTCTGATTTTCTCTTTTTTATTTCCTGTGGAATTTGGTTATTTTCGACGTAAATTGAAAGCTTGTTCGGATTATGTAAGAGGCGCTAGTATTCTTTTTTCCCATGCTTGGGAATCACCTCTTAATGGTTGAGTGGTTAGGAAGAGCATTTGATAGGATACTTCAGCTTTATATTTGGCGAATCTAATCCCTATTTCTCCCGTTCCTTTTACTTGCTTTTGTAAGTAGCTTTCTGCCAGATAATCAATCATGTTTCTCCCGTGGAGGTGCTCAGACTCAACTGTGTTCTCAAAGTAGGAAGAATTGGGGGCTTCATCATTACTCATCTGTGTACCTTCAATTCTCATAATGTTAATATAAGGGGGTTTGCGGATTGTAAGCTTCATAGAGCTTTGCATGAGTGCTGCTTCTAATAGGTACCTCTTCTGCCGCTCGATCGCCCTTGATGAGTGCACCCTTTGGGGTTTGGCTTTCAATTTGTGCTTTCCATACACTTACAACTCCTTTTATCAAATAGTCTTAGTCGATGTTCCAATCAGTTCATAGGACCACGTTTTTTGCGGGCGTCAAAATTTTGAATCTGGTGATTTAAATGCCTTGGATCTTTTCCACGATTAAGCTTGTCTACGGATTTCATCTTCACAAAAGCCAGAATGTTGCCATTTTCAATCGTATTTCCATCATGAAGACATCAACTATTGTTGAGACATCCTTTCAAGCATTCTTTCCTCCACGGTGTTTGTTGGGGTAGGAGATTGTGGATCCTCATACATCAGTTTGGATTTTCCATCTTCTGTTACAACACCGAAAACCTTGTTCTCCCCGTCAATCACCCCACTTGGCTCTCTCAGACCCATATGCGGGAGTACGGAAGCTCCAGGTAGATCTGTGCTATGAAAAGCCTGTGCCATATCAAAGGGATTGAGCCGTGTGTGGTGACTGAGATTCCAGTAACCGAAGAAGATAGGGACAACGCTCAGAATCCCTACCAGCATAACTACCAAACCCCCAGCCATGTAAGCGAAATTAGTCTTGAAAATGACCTCTTCGCTGGTTTGGGTCGCGTTGATATCCCGTTTCGTGGAAACATTCATAGTTTCGTATTCGTTGCAAGGGTCATGCCCCAAAGCGACTTGTTCGTTGGTGGAACCAACGTAAAGCGCTGAGCGGAACATCAAATCGTTTAAATCTTTCATGATGTCATTCATTGGGTCTGACCAAGTGTAATTGCATGCAGTCCCAATACTGTAAGGATCATTTGGGTCAATATCGTAACCGTGGACATATTGAGACGCGCTAGTATCCAAGCCAACCAGTGAGTAAGCCACCAAAAGAGAATCAAGGTCGTATGGCGTCGGCTTCTCCCAGAATTGCACTCTGACCTGCATTGACACATTCAATGCATATCTGGTCTGAAGATATAAAGCCAGACCAGCAATGGTTGACCCGTACAAGTTACTCGGATCTTGATAACGACCTGGAACTTCTTCAACCTTTTTTATGTTCTGGAGTTCCAATAATTGGATATTGTTATCGGTCATGGTGAACTCGTACTCCATCACAGCGAGCGTAAAATTGCATGCTGTAGTTGAAAGTAATGCATTGCAAAATTGAAACGGATGATTGAGAGGAGCGTCGATTTGTACATCGGGGGGTCCATCTGTCGTGGTCATAGATGTGGTTTTCGCAATCTGATATATATTAGCGAGTAATTGCGAAATTTTATGCCACTTACAGTAAGCTCAATTCTTTCATGTGCATCGTTACCATACGACTCTGAAGCAAAATCCCAGTGTGTAGATACCTGAAAAACAGGCCAGCTGTAATTAGCAGTACTCCTTCCCCAAGTGAGAGTCCAATTTTCGTAAGTGGGCTCGTTGCAAGTTCTCACAAGTCCAGCACCACGTATCACCCCAGAACAATTTCCTGTACACCCTTTTATGTCTGTTGTGTAATTCTTGTAGTTCATTTGCCTGATCAGTCCAGCGAAGCTCGACGTTACTCCAACTGGGTATGGGTGGAGGTCGCTTGAAACTTTGGCAGAGAACCCTCTTGGGAGTACAGGTGCAACATGGCCATGCAATAAAACAGGTTCTGCCAAAGTCCAAGTCGTGACAGTGGAGACCTTTTGAAGAATAGGACCGATGATTGCACACAAAGTGACCACTATTGTAGCAATAGCAACAAGGTTCAAATGTCTACTAGCCAGCAACGCAGCCTGCACATTCGTCGCCATCTCCCAATCCCTGCTAAGATTCTTAATTGTGGATCCTTTGAGAGCTCTGTTCCAGCAAAATACAATGGTTCCCTCTGCCTACGCAAATGCCAGTGAAAGCTTGAATATTGCTGATGCAATGGATAGAACGACCGATGGTTGAATGGGCCAATGATGAATTGGTTTCTCGTGAGAACGGACTAGGACGAAGATGGCAGCTATCGTAGAAGCAAATGCGAATATAATAGCTGTGAAACCATTATAGGGAAAACGTTCAATATATTGAGAGCGTAAGATAGTCATATGGGCTAGATATTAGGTTAGAGTGCCAATCAGGGATAAAAAGGGAGCACAGTTCATACTGGGTTCTTCTTCATGGCCTCTCCTAGGTACGTCATTCTGTACGTGAGACACATAAGATGACCGATGGGCTGTTGACTGCTGGAATGTGTTGTTTGGTTCCTCTATCAACTGTCGCTCTTGTTGTGGGTCCATTGTGAAAATGGAGAACGAGTGTGGAAACATAGATCTGAAGATAGAGCTGTAGAGTACAAAGCAATATTACCTGACTTTAAAGCTGAAATGCTTTAGTAGACTAATCAAAATCCACGATAATAAATCAGATCTACGAAACACATAAAAAGGCCGCCAGGATAGAATTCACTGTTCTGAAATCGGCTCAAGCTTCCAGTTGAAACAATATAAAAAGAATCTCTGGCAACAGCCTCAGAAAATATCTATTCACTTTGTAAGGTCATTCTTCCTTTGACATCGCAAAATTGTCCTAGATTAGTATTCTTTTCTTGAGCTTAAATGTTTTCGCTTAACAAAAACTGTCTTCAATTTATTGTATTTGTCTAAGTAAATCAATCAATAGTATAAACTGTTCACAAATATTCTGAGTTGAGAACTTTCTAATTTGGAAAGTGCTATGCTGGCCTGGCTATGTGTGCTTAAGAGTGAGGCACAGTAATCTGCATAGAGCTAACTAGTGACATTTGACTGACTAATATAGTGATGGTAATTGATTCACTCTGTACAACTCGCACATATCAGCGATATCTAGTTTAATCTTAAGTGATGGTGTGATCTTTTCTACAGCTCTGCATCTAACCTAGATTTCGTGACCTTTTTCACGTTAGGTGTGACATGATGTATTACGTGTTATCATAACACCATCAGTATTGTACAGGTCTACTTAACACCAACATACCCATCGCACCTTCTGTTGTATCAAAATACAGATCCTAGAGACTTTGGCTCTATGTTCAGACTCATCGTGTTATCTCCTCCGTGGTCCTTGTCCCTTGGCGAGATATTTTCGTGTTTAACTAGCCCCTGATTCAAACGCGTCTCTTTTTATGTATAGAATTAGAGGGATTTTACGGTCTGAGTTTCGGATTTAACGTGGTCTTATATGTAATTAATACATTCCGAAGTTTATATAAGTTTCGCTTAACTTTTTTAGAAGTTATATATAACACTAAATAGAATATTTTAATGGGGTTGGCTAAAAACCACTTTACGCGCCCTGAAAACATTCCTCGCGGGACAAGGACCACGGAGGAGATACTATCGCTATCGCTTTTTCAAGCATTTCAATGCATTATAAAGAGAAAAGGTTGAGCACAGGTCAGCAGCAGACAAGTTATTCTTTCCTATGATATATCCTACGTTAACTCCAGAGAGGTGGAAATCTAAGCGAGAGTATTAAAATATTCTTCTGCATTATACTCACACTTAAAACTCTGGATTCACTACAGCAGTTCCTGCCCAGCCAGTGAGCTGCGCAAATGCACTAATTTGATGATTCAACCACCAGGAACACTTGTTGAATAACCAAATGCAGCTTAACAAAAATGGGATTTTAAGACAATTCCATACTGCGGAAGGCCAATTTCAAAAACCCTGAGTTGAAATCTACATGTTGATTTTCTGATGGAACCGTTTTGTCTATTTAGTATTCTCTAATCATTCGTACTTGTTTTTCTCGCCAGTTAATACAAATGTTGAAGTTGTGGACTTGAAAGTTAGTATTAGGTTAAACCAGCTAGAAAGAGAGTCTAGAGACTCATAGTACTAAGTACAGTTCGTAACCCTTGGGCCCTACTATCAAATGCTAGTATCTACTAGCGCATTCGCTAATTGAGCTCTTTTCCTAACAGCAAATGAATTTCTTTTCTAAATCACGTGAGTTAATACACGTGAAATCACTTTATGTAGTCAAACTCCACCTTTCTGTTTTTAAAGGTCGTGCACAAATTAGAGTTGCAATGTGCTCCATAATCTGCGATGGGGATTTCGATTGAATAAAACCTTAACGACGACTAAGCCCCAAATCGCCAATCGAGAAAGCTACATTTCTACCGCTTCGGGAATCGGCAGTGCCCATACCTCCGTACAGTATCCCACGACGGCACCACCCCCACTCTCCAAATCTAATGGGCTCATAGACTTTACTTTTACCTTTCAGTACCCGCACCGTATCCTTACTATCGCGATCCTTTCCTCACACTATTAAACCATGATATCCTCACTATTGCATGCCGCCCTTCAGGCTTTACTAATGTATCGTAGTCCCCATTTCTCGGACCCCCTCGCTAAACCCCTTCCTCTCGCTAGCTTACCACCTACCCTTTCTGTCGTGAAGCTTTACTATTGGAAATGACAGGCGGATACAGGAGAAGGTGGAAGGGAGATATGATAAACAGGTTTTAGCGCAGCACGTGCTCTTTTAGATTTTCTTACAAAGGTTGTATACAAGAGCTAGGAATTAGGCGAGGACGTATACAGAAAAAAAACAATTCCTGTCCTCGCTTTTTCTCCACTTTTCGTCCTTCTAGTTCAAATATACTAGGGGATTAACCTTATTTAACATACAGGATATATCTAATGATTGTAAGACTATAATAAGGTGTATTAGAGAGTTTACTGGAATAAAAGGAAGGTGTAATAGTAGTTTTGGTAATTTCGGCGGGAGAGTGGAGGTATAGGGGCTGGACACACAAAAAGGGTCAACTGGACATAAATCGGAGTGTACCTGATTCATATTAAGTGGAGCAACGTAAGTCAAATCTAAACTCGGAAAATTCTATTCTCTAGCTTTTCCTACTCTATTCGAACCACAAAATTTGCGGCTTCTGATTTGCGAGTTGCGGCTTAGTAGTTATTATAGTTTGGTACATTCGGGGTGCCGTAGCAGCATAAGGTTGTATCGAAACGTGGTGGTATCTATGGCTTCCGTGCAGTTATAACTCAAATGATCCCTTATCGGATATTCAAAAACCTTGATTTTTCCATGTTTTTCTTTTCATTTAGTCTGCCAGGGTCTTGAAAATTTCTTCATTTTTGTTTTGTTGAGAAGATCCGCAACCTTCCTTTCTTCTCACAGTCAACTCTACTGTGACCAACTCCTTACGAGTCAGCTAGATTCAGCTGCGAATATGGCAGATATCACACTGTCCAACGACAATGGCATTCCGGGGACTGTTCACTTGGTTGATCTTGAGGGAATGGTCGATGCTCAGCATGCTTCCGGGACTATCAAAGATGTCGTCTTGATTCCTACTCCAAGCAACGATCCGAACGATCCATTGAACTGGACCCCGAGGAGAAAATCTGTTTCCACTGCTTGCACTTTATTGTAAGTAGCGGGACTACTCAGTAACGAGATGGTGTAACTCTTATGGGTAGATACGTCTTAGCAGTAGCGTTCCCATCTTCTGCCATATACTCGGTCTTTATGCCCATTATAGCGAAAACCGGCATTCCTTTCGGAACTCTGAATGAGGGCACCGGATACATGTTTTTGTTCCTCGGATGGGGCTGCGCATTTTGGCAACCAGTCGCTCTGCATGTTAGCTAATGATTAGTCCAAATAATGAACCAAGCTTCTAACATATTTCTAGTACGGAAAACGCCCAGTATATCTGTTCTCGGTTCTAGCGACCCTTGGTATAACAATGTGGGGGCCCTATATCGAAACAAATGGACAATGGATCGCCTCCAAGATTCTTCAAGGTTTCGTTGGAGCCCCAATCGAATCTCTTCCCGAAATTTCGATGGCTGATATATCTTTTACTTATAAACGAGGGGCATATATGACGTTATATGCCTTCGTCCTTAGTGGAAGTAATTATATCGCTCCGACACTTGCGGGCTTTATCTCCAATGGACAGGATTGGGAATGGGTTTTGGTAAGTTTCTGTTTCCATCGACGAATATGCGTTACTGAACAATTTCAGTATTGGTGCGCAATCTTTTGCGGATTGAGCTTCGTAATCCTCTTCCTCTTCATGGAAGAAACTAACTACGACCGCCCGCCAACAAGCCCAAACCCAGCAGTGGTACCAGGAGAAGAGGACGCTCCTTTGGAAAGCAACGAAAAGGTCGCCCACCAGCTTTCAATCGCCACCCAGATGAACAGTCGAGTGGTGACCGGTTCTACCAAAACATTCCTTCAGAAGATGAGTTTGAGAGATAGGCCCCGACCTTTTAAATGGTTCCTCTTCTCGCTGAAACAACCATTCCAATTCTTCACTTTTCCCGTGGTTCTATATGGCGGGTTCGCGAGCGGGTCTGCATTGATATGGTTCAATTTCCTGAATGCCACTGCGTCGCTTATCTACAGCTCCCCTCCATACAACTTTAAACCATCCATGGTAGGACTGACCTACATATCCCCCTTTCTGGGTGCCGCTCTCTGGTACGTCCCCCCTCGATCCGATTTCATACAAAACAACAAGAAACTTACAGAGGTTCCCTCCCAGCATGCTCCTCACCGGCACAATAGGCGATAAACTTAACATTTACCTCGCCCGTCGTTCCCAAGGCATCTCCGAACCCGAATACCGTCTCTGGCCCCTACTAATCACTACCGTTTTCGGGCCCATGGGACTTGTAATTTGGGGCGTAGGAGCCGCGAATTCCATACATTGGTTCGGACTGGTAGTCGCGGAATTCATGCTCGGGGTCAGCATCACCATAACGATTACCATAGCTTGTAATTACGCGATCGATACCTATCAGCAACTTGGGGGCGAGTCTTTGGTCGCGGTTGTCATCGTGAGGAATACCATGAGTTTTGCTATTGGTTATGGGTAAGTCCAAGTTCTCCCTCACTTGACGGCCATTGGAGGAATTGGAGTATTAACAGATATGTAGAATTACTCCTTGGATTGAGCATACGGGGATTCAGAGTACCTTCATTGCGGCTGCGTTCATTGGCTTGGCTGAAACTTTGGTTTTTCTGGTTTTTGTGAAGTTTGGAAAACGCTTCAGACGTAATAGTAAGAAAAGATATGCCAAGATGGTCAGCGATAGCGCTTTGATGGGCCAGGGAGAACATTGAAATATAGGTAAGTGGTGCGCACGATAATCAGCCTCGGAATATTTGGATTCTCATACTATGTCATAGTACTCTATGAATTCTCCGCGTCTTATTATTGTAACACAGACCTGGGCGTCGATGCATATATGTCGGATTATCGCGATATGATATCGATATTTATTTCCACGATGTCGATATCGATCGGCTCAGATTTAACGATATCGATAAATATCGATATTTTTGGACGATTTTAAGGAGGGTTTTAGAGGGATTTTGAGGGCAAATTATAAGAGAAAAGGGCTTGTGGAGAGCCAGTACTAAACCATTGTGACGGGGACGTCACAGGGCTCGTAGGAAGGTCACATAACTAAAACGTAACTTTATTCTTATAGTAGCCGTATTCTTAGGGTCGTAACCTAGAAGGTATCAAAAAATCTTGTTTATAAGTACGGTCTTACCTAAACTAGTAGTTAAAACTCGAGAGTTTTATTAATAGTAGGTTTAAATTTTAAAATCTAAGTATTCTATAGGTTTTATTAGTCCGGAGCCGGGTTTATAGATCTTCTACGTGACGTATACCGATACTCGATAGTTGTATTGATTATCGGATTCTTAGCGATATCGTATCGTCTATATATTTCCGATATGATATATATCGGGCACCCCCCAC